CGCGGTCCACGTCGCGTCGCGCTGCCGGGCGGCGTCCGCCGCGCGCGGGACACGCGCCGTCGCCACCATGGCCAAGAAGAGCGTGGGCGACCTCACCGCCGCCGACCTCGAGGGCAAGCGCGTGCTCGTGCGGGCCGACCTCAACGTGCCGCTCGACGACAACCAGAACATCACCGACGACACCCGCATCCGCGCCGCCATCCCCACCATCAAGTACCTCCTCAGCAACGGCGCCAAGGTCATCCTCACCAGCCACCTGGTAAGCCTCCCCACCCCCACCTCTCTCGCCCCTTCCCCGCAAACTAATCAATGATCTCAGCCCCATATATGTATATACAATGTAGGAATACATCACTTGCAGAATGTGAGTGTTGTCATAATCTGTTCGGAAAGCCTGATATATGAACACATAACACCCAAGCTCTATCTACTACAGTACTTGTCAGTTTGATTAAAGCCTTGTGCGATTGACTGATGGTTAGCCTGTCCTAAAACGACTGATCATAGTTTCCAAGGAATTACTGAATACAATCTTTGACTCATTTTAATTCATCATCTGTTTATGATGACTTTATGTGTTCTGTAGTCCCAAAAAACATTAGCTGACTACTGCCGAGCCAAATCGTTATGTGATCTCGCTATTGAATCATTACTTCTCTAGTTGTGAATTATCCTTTTGATTCTAATTGGTGATACTTTTGGATTCCCCATTTTATTTCCTAGCAAACCTTTATAAAGGATATTCCGATGCTAGTTTCACACAGAGTTGCTTATGATTGTTCATGTCATGGATATCAGATTCGTAACCCTTGTCTCCTATGGATTTGCAGGGTCGTCCTAAGGGTGTTACTCCTAAGTTTAGCTTGGCTCCCCTTGTGCCCCGATTATCCGAGCTTCTTGGCATTGAGGTATTCTTTTGTTCCACTTCCACACCATCGAGGCTTCTAATCAAGCATATGCCGAAGTGATTGTAGTCTACTTATTTAAACACATTTTTGTTCGCAAATTAGGTGAAAAAAGCAGAAGATGTTATCGGCCCAGAAGTTGAGAAATTGGTGGCTGACCTGGCAAATGGTGCTGTTTTGCTCCTGGAAAACGTAAGATTTTACAAGGAAGAGGAGAAGAATGACCCAGAGTTTGCAAAGAAGCTTGCGTCACTGGCAGATCTGTTTGTAAACGATGCATTCGGAACAGCCCACAGAGCACATGCCTCGACTGAGGGAGTTACCAAGTTCTTGAAGCCTTCTGTTGCTGGATTCCTTTTGCAGAAGGTTCATACTTTCTTTTATTTCTATTTCTGAAGTTTGATGCTTGAACTCAATTGATGCTATGCACCACAAAATATAAAAGGAAAAAGAATTTCGAGCAGAAGACTTAACGTCCATCCATTGGTTCCAGACAGAGTCTGAAGTGCTGTTCTTTAATTGCAGGAACTTGACTACCTGGATGGAGCTGTTTCAAACCCTAAGCGCCCATTTGCTGCCATTGTGGGTGGCTCAAAGGTGTCATCCAAGATTGGGGTTATCGAATCCCTGTTGGAGAAGTGTGACATCCTTCTTTTGGGTGGTGGTATGATCTTCACATTTTACAAGGCACAAGGACTCTCAGTTGGTTCTTCCTTGGTTGAGGAAGATAAACTTGAGCTGGCAACATCTCTCCTTGCAAAGGCAAAGGCAAAGGGTGTCTCCCTTCTGTTGCCATCTGACGTTATCATTGCTGATAAGTTTGCTCCTGATGCTAACAGTCAGGTATATTACATTTTTGTTTTCCTCATGCAAGCGTTGAAGATAATTATCAATAGATCTTTTTTAGTCAAGCTGAAGCAGCTCACAAATATGTGAAGGCTATATACCTGATCTACAATTTTTCTGTAGACCGTCCCTGCATCTGCAATTCCTGATGGTTGGATGGGGCTGGACATTGGCCCAGATTCAGTCAAAACATTTAATGATGCCCTGGACACAACACAGACAATCATTTGGAACGGACCAATGGGTGTCTTTGAATTTGACAAGTTTGCAGTAGGAACTGAGGTAATGCCATGTGTAATTCATTCATTCAGTTCTATTATGGAACAAATTTGCACAGAAAGAAACTTAACTGTGATCCCTCTCCTGTAGTCTATTGCAAAGAAGTTGGCCGAGCTTAGCAAAAAGGGTGTGACAACTATCATTGGAGGCGGAGACTCCGTTGCGGCTGTTGAGAAGGTGGGAGTGGCTGATGTTATGAGCCACATCTCAACTGGTGGTGGCGCCAGCTTGGAGTTGTTGGAAGGAAAGGAGCTTCCTGGAGTCGTTGCACTTGATGAAGGTGTCATGACGAGGTCGGTGACCGTATGAGGCTAAGCTTCATTTGTTGCATCTTAATTCCTTTCATGTACCGTTCCAAACCTGCCATGTTGTCCTCCCTCTTTTGCTCGTCTTCGACCACTCGAAATGTAAGAGACCAATGTTTTATAGAGAAATACTGGGAACTGTTTGAATAACACCCCCAGCAATTTGTGCTCACTTGAGTTGCCCTTTCTTAGCTCACATAATTAGCACCAGCAAATGTTTTATTTATAAGGCAAAGATGGAATGATGTTGGTTGAGGATGTTTGATTTTTGTCTTGTTTTGTTTTCCTTTCCAAAGCAAACTTTAGAGGTGTCGAAGATGCACTTTGTGGATGCCTGTTGCGATCAGCAGTAAAAAATTCGGTTCATGTCGAAGTTCACCATGGAACAAGCAGACATGCTCACCTTCCATTTCCAATTTCAGCATAAATTTGACGGACCAACAGAGTGCTGAAGCTGACCATTGAAAGCATCAGCGCATTTTGTTTGTTGTAAGAATGTCTTATTGGTGGAAATTCTTCAGAAACATTTCATTTGGGGTTTGGCCATGTCAGGCTTTACACACAAACTTACTGCATATATGGATTTCGACGATCGACAGTTCAGCATCATGAAGAGCGATATCACAAAGGTGTTTCTTCATTGTGGGCACTTTCTGCCTCCATGCATGCCCAGTAATTCTCATATTTAACACCACACAAGAATGCAACCAACTCAGCGTGCAATTTTACCACCTGGCTCCATGATATCTCAAAATTTAGGTTTAGCTCATGAAAATATATCGCGAATGATAGACAATACAAGCTCAAAGGGTATGTCATACATCACCCTAGACCAAGGTACAAGATGGCCACAATGTGCATAAACAGTACGACAGATATCGCAGATCAAAATGTTTATATCTAGCCCAAAAGAAGCAGTCGTAGATGCAGGAGAAATAAATTAAAAGGTGATAAATATATGTATACTGAGGAACACCAGCAATCCTAATGGTACAAAAGTTTATGCTGAAAGGAGGCACTGACAAAAGAGCTCACGTCACGTCTCATTAGACTCGTTAGAAGCCTCGTTGAAAGACGAGGCGAGGTATTCTGCCAGACTCAATCCTGATGTTGGATTTGATATTGTTCGGCCTTGATTAGGTGTCTCCTTTTTGCGCAATGACTCTGGAAGCCAGGACTTCGCACCATCGACGGGTTTCAGTATGTTGCCAACGATAGGCTGCAAGCCCTGCCAAGGATCATCAACCATGGACTTCCTGTAGAAGTTCCTCTGATCTTGCGATCCAGAATGGTTCTGGAAGCCACCCCTTCCCCCTCTTCCTCTCGAACCTGGGCTGTGGTAGAAATTCCCACCCCTGCCTTGATTAGGTGTCTCCTTTTTGCGCAATGACTCTGGAAGCCAGGACTTGGCACCATCGATGGGTAGTATGCTGCCAACGATAGGTTGCAAGCCCTGCCAAGGATCATCAACCATGGACTTCCTGTAGAAGTTCCTCTGATCTTGCGATCCAGAATGGTTCTGGAAGCCACCCCTTCCCCCTCTTCCTCTCGAACCTGGGCTCTGGTAGTAGTTCTCACCCCTGCCACGTCCGGAAGACGAGTGCGGGCTACCTCTTGGTACATAACTCCTCGGGCTTCCTCTTGGTTCGTAACTCATTGGGCTACCTCCTGGTCCGTAATTCATCGGGCTACCTCTTGGTCCGTAATTCATCGGGCTACCTCCTGGTCCATAATTCATCGGGCTGCCCCCTCGGCCAACATTAGGGCCTCTGAACCCAAAGTTGGGTGGATGTGGATACGGATCTTGAGCTGGAGAAGCAGAATGTGGGTTCCAGTGAGGTGGAGGTCCAGGAGGTGTTCCTCGGTATCCAGACATAGGAGTCTGGAACTGCATAGGACCTCTCCATGGACTATTCCCTGGTGCACCTTCCATCGGAGATTGGGCCATATGGTGCTGGTGCGGAGGAGGATAATTGTTGCCAGAGTTCCCTGATCCAGATAAACAAGCAAAGTGAGACCAATGATCAGGGTGAAACTTTGTAGTGTTAGTTATTTATATGGCATCCTGCATGTAAACTGCAAATCTCAAACAGATGCATGGCTTAAAACTGTAATAATTACTTAACTTGCTATCCTGACTAACCCAGTTCTCTGTAGGGCAATTTAGCTAAGATCAACGCAAAGAGTAAACAATACGTTAAGACAGTTATGTTTGGCTAGAAACATGATTGTAGTTTTCACATTTTGCAGGATGTGCAGAAGGCCAAAACAGTAGCTGGATTTCTTGCAGCACAGTACAGCTACAAGTAATCACTAAGCAGTCAAAATTTTGTACTAGCCAGTTTTTAAACCGGTATTTATTTAGAGTGTCAAAAGTGTTCTCTTAATCAACCTTCGGTGCCATGGTAGGTGATGTAAAATGTTCAAAATTACTCTCTTCAACCTAAAAGGACCACCAAAGATTCTTCAATCGACCAATACTCACATCATCCAGTTAGAAGTTACTAGCATCTACATACTTGTAACAGGGTGCTTTTGTTGAAGGTTAGCTTAAGCCCAGGAAAACTCTACTGTCTGGATCAATGGAACTGCTATGAATTATGCCAACAATAATATAAATCCTACAAATATGAATCTTACAAAGGGAATTAACCTAGAAGCACAGGAGCGGAGTATACAATAAACATCAGGAAGGGAAGAAGAGGGGCAATACCCTAGCAGGGTAAGGTACGGACCGTGAGGCGGGGCCGGGGCGGGATTGGGGCCCGGGGGGTCGGCGCTCTTGCGCTTCTGCGGGACGGCGGCGGCGGAGGAGGAGAAGGCGGCGCCGGGGTTGGTGTAGAAGTCGAACCGCGAGCGCGGACGCGGGGCGGAGGAGGTGGGCGCCAGGTCGGGCTCCGGGAGATCCCACGCGGGCGGCGGCGGCGCGGCAGATGGCGAGGAGGAGGAGGAGGTGGAGGAAGCGGCGGCGGCGGCGGAGGAGCGGAGCGCGAGGAGGCGCTCCCGGCGGTTCGCCGACGACTCCTCCCCGGCTTGCTCGCCGGTGTCCATCTGGGATTGCTGCTTGCCTGCGACGGGGCCTCGGCCGCTTGGGTTCAGAGAAGAGTAACTCTTGCGTTTGTACTATTTGTCATCGCACAATACGCAGGAGCAGGAAAACATGTAGCTTCAGAAAGTTCAGAAAAAGAGGGGTTCTCTTTTAACGGCCATGAAATCCTCTCACGACCTCTTTTTTTTTTGTTTGACGCGAAACTTAGGACTTTATTGCATCAGAGAGGTACGGTTACAATCAGCCAAGAGGCTGCTTACAAGGAAGGAAGGAAGGACAGCTGTCCAACCAGCATTCTGACACTGCTAAAGTAGTAGCTCGTTTAGCACAAGGATCCGCACGGCCATTAGCATCCCTGGAACTACGCTGAACCGTAAAAGAAGCGAAACTTAAAGCTTTGTTCCTAATTTTATCAAAGATAGGCGCCAACAATGATCTAGTGTTGTGACGCGAGAACCAAGTGTTGACAACCTCTAAACAATCAATCTCCATGACAACATGCGAGTACCCTTTGAGTTGGGCAAAAATCACACCCTCTCGCATTGCTTGCACTTCAGCGATAAAAGGGTCTGTAACCCCAGGCAAGGGTTTGCTCCATGCACCCATGAAAGAAAGATGGGAGCGAGCCATACCTCCCGCTCCTCCCACTTGTGCCTGAGTGTCAATAGCTCCATCGGTGTTCATTTTCACCCAGTCAGGATCAGGTGGACGCCAACACTGATTAACTCGGCCAACATGATGAGTTTTAGGTAGTTCTAACAAGATCAGATCATCTCCCGCTTGCTTGATTGCATGTGCAGGACTGTACCCTTCCTCATCATGGGTCCATCGGCTTCGTGAACTCCGGATTGTATGCATAATAGTTACTATCTTGCATCTATCTGATTCGTTGAACATACTGTCAACAATAAGATCTTGTGTCCAAGTCTCCGCATGCAAACGGGGTAGTTTCAAACCCAAGATTTCCTTTGCCGCGTTTCAGAAACTTTTTGCATGGAAAAAATGGACAAGAGCATGCATCAAATCCTCCTCTGTAGCTTTGCAAAGGTCACAAAGAGAATTTGTTCTGATATGTCGATATCGCATGGTAGCGTAGTCAGGGAGAACTCCCCTTAGTGCTCGCGACCAGAAGACCCGAACTTTCGGGATAACTTTGAGCTTCCAGAGAGCTATCCATACTTGTTTCTGTACCTATGAAGTTTCCGCTATCGTCCCTTCCTCTAGAGCATGTCGACCTCTTTGATTTCCAGGAAGTTCAAGACACATGATTTTTTGTACAAAACACACGCAACATACAAAAAATACAAAGGATTATAATCCTACGAAATTTCTGTGGAAATCCTTTAATCAAATGAGCCCCAACATGTTATCTCACGGCCCTCGGCACCGCAATATCGGATCATTGTCCTCTCCTACTCGACTTGAATGCGGAATTATGCATAGGGCGCAGATTTAAATTTGAATCTTTCTGGCCAAAAGCGGGAGGATTTCTAGACACGGTGGAGAGAGTGTGGGCCTCGGTCCCCAATGAGGTGCTGCTGGACAAGAAGTTGAGAGCCCACGACCAAAAGTTTGGGAAAATGGAGTGACTGGTGGACTGGGAATATAAAACTCCATATTGCAATTGCCCTTGAGGTCATATCGCAGCTTGATGCTGCAATGGACATCAGGGCCCTATCACAACCAGAGGGAGAGCTACGCAAAATGCTGAAGGTGAAGTTGCTTAGGCTTTGTTCTCTGGAACAAACAATAGCGTGTCAAAGACAGAGACTGCTAAGACTTAAGGAAGGAGACGATGACACCAGTTTCTTCCACCAATACGCGCGCCACTGCCAGCGGCGTAACATGATCACATCACTACGACATGCTAACACCATTGCTACGGCACATGAGGAGCTTGCCAATATGGTGGACTCCTACTATGGCAGACTCCTCATTGTGGCGCCATCGAGAGATCACACCATTGACCTAGACAAGCTCGATCTGCCATCCTTGGACATGGTACATCTGGAAGCACCCTTCTCGAAGGCGAAAGTGGAAAAGGTGGTCAAGGACATTCCCTCGAACAAAGCTCCGGGCCCCGATGGGTTCACCGGTCGTTTCTTCGCCACTTGTTGGCACATCATAAAGGAAGACCTCATGCGAGCTTTTGACTTATTCCACCGAGGGGATATGCGTGGACTACTGGCGATCAACAAGGCAATCATCTCTCTACTGCCAAAGATTGATGGAGCGGTGGAAGTGAAAGATTTCAGGCTTGTGAGCGTCATCCATGGGGTTTTCATTTTTTGACAAAGTATTGGCAAACAGCCTCGTGGCCGTGCTCCCCAAGCTAGTGGGCTCCCATCAATGTGCTTTCGTCAAGGGGAGATCTACTCACAACAACTTCATGTTGGTTCAAAGTACGACACATGCTTGCATGCTCTTAAAGAGCCAACAATGATGCTCAAGCTAGATATTTCAAAGGCTTTCAATACCGTACAATGGCCTTTTCTACTCGAGGTTCTTAGGAGAACGAGCTCTGGTGCAAAGTGGATTGCTTGGATTTGTGGCCTCCTGGCAAATTCTTCTACGAGAGCAATGGTGAATGGATGCCCAGGAAAACTGATCTTCATCTGAAGAGGCATGAGACAAGGAGGTCCTTTGTCTCCTATGCTTTCCATACTCATCATGGAACCACTACACAAGACGATGGATTTTGCGGCAAGAAATGGACTACTTGCACCACTTTCTCGCACTGGCTTCCAACAGAGAGTGTCAATGTCTGATGACGATGTCGTGCTATTCATTAGACCGAGAGAGCTCGATCTACAATGCAAGTCTCCTCTACAATCCTCCAACTATATGGCGAAGCCTCCAACCTTCGTGACAACTTGATGAAGAGTGCTGCCCTGCCAATATGATGCAGTGAGGAGATGATGGAAAGGGTTAGCCAAGTTCTTGGATGTCCAGTGGGTATGTTCCATGTAAGTATCTTGGGCTGCCTCTAACCATCAAGAAGCAAAGCGCGACTCAGCTTATGGGGCTCATGGACCAACTTGCCAGCTGCTTGCCAAGATGGAAATCACCATCTATGCCCAAGAGTGGATGAATGATCCTTGTACAGTCTGTGCTATGTGCGATTCAAATCCATGCAATGCTTGCTTTGGACATCCCTCAGAAGATCATCAAGGCCATGAACAAGATATGCAGATGTTTCCTTTGGTGTGCAAAAGATCAGGCTAACGGTGGGCAGTGTATGGTAGCTTGGGAGATAGTCTGCTCTCCAAAATGGGCGGGTGGCCTCGATATTCCTAATCTCAGGTGGAGGAACATCGCGGTGCATGCTAGGTGGCCATGGCTTCAACGAACTGATCAACAACGACCATGGGCAAATTTCGAGATCCCGGTGCCACAGGAGGCGGCACAACTTTTCCAGGAGGCCACACGAGCGAATGTGGGTGATGGCACTTCAACCCTATTCTAGGAGGACAAATGGTTCAATGGATTCCGGATATAGGAGGTTGCACCGGCCCTATACGACAGAGTCAACAATGGTGTCAAGAGATTGTGCATAGTGCACCAGGCAGTGATTGGCGGCAACTGGATAATGGACATCGGGCTGAAGATGTCGGCCCTTGAGATTCAGGAGTACCTTAACCTATGGACTACAATGGAGTAAGTAGAGCTCAACCAAGACATCCTAGATTCCATAGTTTGGGCTTGGGAAAAGGATGGTGTCTTCTCAGCTCGATCGGCCTATGCAGCCAAGTTTTGGGGAAGAGAGGTTATCCCCATGGCTGATTTCACTTGGAAGTCTAAGGCACCACTACAATGTCGTTTTTTGCATGGCTAGAACTTCAAAAAAGGTGTTGGATGTCTGACAGGCTTGTGGGGCATGGACTAGAGCATCAGGAGGCTTTCCCTTTCTGCGGGCAAGAGCAAGAAACCATTGACAACATCCTCCTCACCCGCGTTTTTGCGAGACAAATTTGGACCATTGTATGCACCGGCCTAAACAGATGAGACTGGATCCCTCATCATCAGTCCAGCTTCTCACAATGGTGTGCCAACAGGTATGGTGCTACGACATGCACGAAGGATGTGTGAGCAATGTTGCTATTGGTCCTATGGAGCTTTGTAAGCATCGAAACTCCATCGTGTTCGACGCGGACTCTCCCTCTATGCACCAGTTAGTTATGAAGATCGAACAAGAAGCCACAAGATGGAAGCAAGCGGGAATCTTCAAGGGAGACGTGGAGCCGATGCTGCATGCATTAGCTACATGGGCAAACGCGAGAAGTTAGATATGTATTAGGTGGATTCCGAGTAGAGTTGGTGTACGTGTAATATGTAATATCCAACGTGGAGGGGCTTCTTCTCCCCATCCTCTCTTTAATACATAGTACGCACACTCGTGCATATTCGAGAAAAAAAGCCCCTAGGAAACCACATGGGCTTCGATCAAAGAACACCGTTCTCATTCGAATTTAATTAGACCATCATGTTGCTCCTTCACCACTGTTATGTTATGTTGGAAATATGCCCTAGAGGCAATAATGAATTAGTTATTATTATATTTCCTTGTTCATGATAATCGTTTATTATCCATGCTAGAATTGTATTGATAGGAAACTCAGATACATGTGTGGATACATAGACAACACCATGTCCCTAGTAAGCCTCTAGTTAACTAGCTCGTTGATCAATAGATGGTTACGGTTTCCTGACCATGGACATTGGATGTCATTGATAACGGGATCACATCATTGGGAGAATGATGTGATGGACAAAGACCCAATCCTAAGCCTAGCACAAGATCATGTAGTTCGTATGCTAAAGCTTTTCTAATGTCAAGTATCATTTTCTTAGACCATGAGATTGTGCAACTCCCGGATACCGTAGGAGTGCTTTGGGTGTGCCAAACGTCACAACGTAACTGGGTGGCTATAAAGGTACACTACAGGTATCTCCGAAAGTGTCTGTTGGGTTGGCACGAATCGAGACTGGGATTTGTCACTCT